AAATAAATTTTAAAACCAATTGTAAAAAAAAAAAAAAAATCACTTTAATATACAATTTTTTTGTAAAACGAAGCCAAACGAACACTAAATTTTGATGAAAAATAGTTTTCGAGTAATAAAAAAAATTTCACTTTAATGAACAACTCCATGTAAAATAAAGCGAAACGTGAACAAAAAGATCCAAAATTTAAAAATTTTTCAGGTGGAAAATTATATCAATCAAACACACTTAATTAACAATTCACTGGAAAACAAGTTCTAGACAATTATTTTATCTGGAATTCATTTTCTTTCCACACATTTTCCACACTTGCAATCAAACGAACCCTAAATGAATTAGGTAAATTTCACGGGCCAGATTTAAACCACGCGCATACAACAATACGTTATGGTTATTATACCAATTATCGTGGATACAAGTCCAAAATTAGTGCAAGAAGGCCAACAAAAAGAAATGAAGGCATTAGACTATCAGAGCAAGTTTCTGCTGAAGACAACGCTGACCTATTTCCATGGCAGTATATTACACAAGGAAGGGCACGTCCTTCAGGACGACCAATAGGCATGTAATGGCTACATTGAAGAGTATCTCCTCGACTATTTACAACCTGCAGAATGAACAAAGCACTTACATATAAGACCGAATTGCGATGATTGAAAAACACCAATCTCACCACAAAGAAGAACAAAAGGAAAATCAAGCATCTAAAAAGTGAATAAGTGATATCTGCAGTCTGAAAAAGCCAAAAAAGGGGTAATAGAAACTATTTTATATAGTACTTTGCGATCAATTTAGTCTTTGAGTCCAACTGTACCTTCAATGCAGATTTAAGAAACCATATCAGAATTGGTATGAGTTTTTATCTAGGAAAAAAAAAAAGTTCAGGTACATAACACTATACGTCCTCCGTCTATCAATAAATTTTACCCGTGCGATTTGAGTGTTATTCAAAGTTAGCAATCCGTCCTGAATGCATCTTACCTTCAAATCTTTCCTCTGGTACCACTTCCCTTTAAGCATAAATTCTTGATCTAATAAATCATTTTTCGGATTGTATTCAGCTCTGCAGTCAAGAAAAGAATAATAAAAATAATATACTCAAGCCCCAAATTACCTTATCATAAAACAGTGCACTGAGATTAAAGGCTTTGGTGCAGTGCCTCTAATCCATTGAATAAACAATTTTTTTATTTACGATTCAAAATCATGAAGCAGAGAGTCGTGCAAACTAAGTATGCAAGATGGTTTTAATGAGCAATTGCAACCATTGATGTCATAAAAATATCATTTCAACCAAACAATATCAAGAATAACATGCAAAACGACATTTTAGCTTCTTCATGATGCAAAGTCAGATATCTTTCCTAATAAAACTATATTCCATACATGATTTCCATTCCCCGTGAATTTGATCAATCAGTTCTATCTTCTTGTCTAGTTGGACGAATCAGAGCCTCAATGCCAAAATTGGAATATTTACTAGAAGGATGAAGATCAACTTCAGCAACATAATGTGCAACGACTTTCAATCCATTACGGTCTGATATGCCTACAAAATGTACTAGTGGTCTTTCACCTGGATTGTTTAAAGCTGGAAATAGAGAGTTTGAGCTTGATCCATATAACAACTGAAGTTTATATTTCACATTTTGTAGTAAAGATTCTGACCTCACTAAGACTCATAAATGATGACAGAATTCAAGTTAGAGAACTCAGATCTAAATAGCAATATAATTCACAATTAAATAGCTCAATGGTCTAAATGATATCCTATTTCAGATTGTAATAACCTAATTCAGAGTAAGAGCAATCTGGATTAACATGTTATAGAGTTACACAAGAGAACATAGTAATAGTTGAGATCATAACCTAAATTGGTTTGGAAGGTTCATGGTTAAAGTGATGGCAAAGCCTAACATGGGATCAGAGAACTAAGGTTTAAGTAAGCATGTGACTGATTGCTTACATGAAAAGGCTTATCTTTACGTAAATGTTATTTGACCGATCAAGCTAGAAATCTTTTCACATATATACTAATACTCTTAGGATACAAAAATGCTTGTCATTTCGCCTTAAATCTCCTAGTCGCTGCATTAATAATAAGAATTCCGCGCTCTTCTTTTCGTAAGGGAAGACTTCAGGAAATCTTATCCATTGCCAGTTTCTCCTGATGTCAGGTAAAAACGTGTGCATAATAATCTTCAAGAGTAACCAGAACTGAAAAACTCTATTCTACGACTAAAGCACAATTTGTTCTTTGAACGCATGTAATTCATGAGGGGCTGGCATGATCCATGACCTATCCTAAAATTTGGCCAGCTCCCTTGGAAGCTAGAAACTCATTCCAGCTTTCTACCAGATTAATAAAAGAAATCTTAATGCAAGGTCCTACTTCACAGCAGTCCGAGTTAGCTCTCATTACACAGAGCATCCCGCATGTTAATCTAAAAAAAAAACACACAAAACAAGCAACGGGAAATTAATGAAAGTTCATAAATTCGTTTTATAGAAAATCCATTTAATTCATACCAAGATCAAGACTTGAACCTAAAAATCCCTTTACATCACAGCCCTTTATAGAAACACCAAAAGCAATAAAAATTCAATCAGAATAAAAACATTCACCGTTTCCAATTAAGCTCCCGGCCATTCAGCACAGATAACTTATAATATAAGAAAAATTAAAATAAATTAACCCTCAAATCAACGCCATATTCACATAGAAAAAACCAACCCCAAAACAACAGATTTCAAAAGGAAAAACTAAACATGCCAAAAGTATTAAAAAAAATCAGTTAATTGAAAACAAAATCTCAACTCCGAGACAAAATGCTTAACACCAATCTAAGAATTTTGACAAAGATTCAAACTTCACAATATAAACACGTATAAAGACATAAAAACATAAAAATCATATATACCTACAGAGTTAGAAACAACAAAAAGAATTGATCTCTTTCCTCACCTGGGTGGTCTTATGATGAAGCTAATAAGCTGTTCCATAAGAGATTCAAATCAAGAATTTCCTTTCTTTTCTTTTCTTTTTTCCCCTCTTTTCTCTCACTGAACCGCTTCTTTTGTTTTCTTTTCTCCTTTTATATATACAAATAAAAGTTTTAATTCTTCTGAGAAATGCAACTGTACATATGCAAGTAATTTTTTTTTCGCTTTGGGAATAAAATAGAGAAGCACCATGAGTAAAAGGAGAAAGAATCAAATTGTCAGCTGGTCCTCGTTATTTCTTTCTTTTTTTGTTGTTGGCAATGGGCTGTACGTTTGCGTTTCGTTTCATGCAAATAAACCATTTGTCAGCAGTAGTCCAAGACTTCGTTGTCCTGACGTGGCGAGAAATGGTTGGCTGGCCTATCCCTCTTTTGATGAAAATACTGGTCAAAATTGGACGAGAGATATTCTGAAATATTTTATTAGTGTTGTAAAAATAATATTTTATACTAATTTATTCATTTTATTGTGAAGATTTGATGAGTCTCAAACAAATTTTAAAAAATAAAATTTAAGATAAAAGTTTAAAAGAAGAAAATTGCACTCTTAAAACTTAACTTCTATAATTCAAATTTATTGTGATGATGAAATAGTACAAATGGACAGCCTTTTTATTTTACATTTTGGTACATTAAAATTAATTGTTAATACATGAATTTAAATATCTATAAACTCATATATAATAACTTTAGATTCATGTAAATCAAGATTCATAAAGTCTAGGTTAATATGAATGTTACTCCTTCTGTCTCATTTATATATGCTGGTTTTGTTTTTCACACAAATTAAGAAATTTTATTTAATATTATTGAAAAAGTATTTTTTCTCAAAAACGTTCCTTGTTTACCTTTACTTAATTATTAACAACTAATAGTAAATTATTGTTGGAAGTAGTAAAGAAATAAATGTAATAATAAATAAACAAAACAAAATATTCTCAGTAAAGAAACACGACTATACAATTGTGACAAGAAAATAAGAAAAATCAGCATATATAAATGGGACGGGGTAGTAATTGATTGAGAAATAATAACACAAAATTTATACATAACAAGGATTTTGTAATATTGATTACATATTAAAAAAAGAAAAGTAAGGTATTATTGAAATAATTGAATTATAGTATGGTTAAAATCGTCCTAATATGATTTTTTGGAGAATGTGTGGTTGAAAATGAGTATGAGAATTAAAAAGTTTTGAAATAATGGTTGTCAAACATACTAAAATTTATATTTTAATTTAAGTCAAAGTGAACAATTAATTTTAATTACACATTTCATGAAAATCATGACTGTTCAACCACACATTTTATCATTTTATCAAAATTTACTAAAAAAATCTAATTTTAATTCTCACTAAATGTGGACTATATAATTTTTTTTTTCTATTTTTTAGTTTGTTTTTCCCATTCGTGGGATTAATTACAAAATCACATGCAATCCAAATTGGTGTATAAATATATAAGAATTTAATTTTGAAATATTTGATTTTAATCAACAATTATATTTTACCTTTTATTATAATATCTTATAATTTAAAGGTCAAAGTCAAACTCTAATTTTAATAATACATTTCGTAATATTTATAATTGCTAGTCACTTGTCTATCACTAATTTCTATCACATTATAATTTCAACATCTTATAACGAAACTCTAAGAACCTGATAAATATGTTGATACATTAATTTGCAGAAAATTTAAATATAATAATATAGTTTCGTAGGAGTTTTTTCAAACATTACACGTTTGGAGTTGGAATAAAGAGATAGTCAAAGCGGATTGCACATTGTAGGAGTCAATGCTATAAAACGTGAAACGGTCAAAATATTTATGAAACAATGTCAGTTGTCACAATTTGTGTACGATAATTTCGAGAGAGAGAAAAAAAAAAGGTAAGTAGACTAATATGCTTTGTAGAATATGCCCCACAAAAAAAAAAATTTTAGTTTAAAAAAAAAAAAAAATTTTAAAAAAAAATTCATGTGTAAATTTTTTTTTTTTACGTATTAGCCCGGTCTGTGATCCGATCCTGGATCCGTCCCTGGAATATGCTGAACGTGTTAGTCGACCTTATCTCGAGTTTGGTCATAAGCTTTAGCTTCTTTGGTTTTTTGGTTGATCGAGCTCTTAATGGGAAAAGCTTGGCGCAACTCTTATTGGGTTTGACCTCCTCAAACCGAATCTTCTTGTACCAGTTTTGACTTGATCTCACGTATTTTAGTTGTGACCTCGCATCATGTCAATTTCATAGGTCACATAATCCTACATTAATTTTGATATAACTTTTACGTAATAAAAAGATGTAAAATAAGAGTACGATATAATACTCTTATGGAATAATTGAATGGTAATCTTAAGGAATAATTGCTCCTGGCACATGTACCGGGAAATTGATGAATTTGGGGAACATTGGGATTGTACTAGTTGAGCAATTGAAGTATGTGTTTGGAAGTTGAAGTCTGCTTGGCCAATTGACAAATCCAAGAGAAATTAAATTCCTGATAAATTTAAAGTTACGTATACTGGTTATTTTGATCATTGTATTCTATTAAAGTGTTTAACATGTCCAGATGGTGAGAATATCGAATTCGATTTTTAAAGGAATCGAATTACACATATTATGATCGAACCGCTCAATACACAAGGTCGCTCGATTTAATATAGAAGTACGTAATTTACACACAATTAAATCTGAGCCACTTAGATCTGAGATATGCATCTATATGGTGGAGATTAAAATACGATTTTTAGTAGATTTTGATAAAAGTTGATGAAATATGAGTTGAAAAATTTCATTAAATATATGATTAAAATTAATTGTTGACTTTGATTTGTCTGAATTTTAATACATACCAAACGGTGCATAGGAGTTAAGGAAACGTGGACCTCTAATCATGACCTTAATCCAATGGTCCCCAAAGTGTCAGCATCTCCAACAACTTTTCACAACCATTGATTGTATAATGCGAGGGTGGTGCAAAATCACCAATCTGCCAGAGGGGAAAAAGTGCCATTTAGATAAGATATCAACATCATTTAGTGCATGCGCTTAAAAAATTACTTATAATCAAAATTACAAATAAATTACAAGTGCTTTTTTAGTTAGTAATATTAAAAACATAAATAGTTTAACAAACTTAACTTACCAAATAATATTCTGTGAATATATAAATTAAATTATTATGTTTTGGATTTATTTTTTTTTCGTTGAAAATAAAATAACAGTTTGGACCCAAAGAAGGGTAGTATCATGGCATGGCCGAGCCCATGTTTGAAAGAGGTCAAAAAATAACTTTGAAATCTATGAGTCGGTATCTTGAAAAAAAATAAAAAAAATGAAAAAAATATTTGTTTATATGTGATACACGAACGATTTGAAGAACATGTATTGTTGATTAAAACAATATGGTTTTAGTAATTCTATTAGAATCACCAATATATATTAATTTAATCAGAATTATCAACGGTAATATCGTCGATACTATCGATATTATAGTCGATAATTTCATTTGAATCACAAGCAAATATTGATTTCAACGAGAGTAGTTAACCTTCATACTGACAGCTTTTCTTAAATTGTTCTATAATGGCAGGTAACCTCAAAGAGCCCAAAAACTATTTTCCTCCACTCAAAACACACACCCCTATCTAAGGAAAGGACACTAGTGTCTACTTAACCAGGGCCCCCGGTAATGCCAAGGGGCCAGCCCGTAATAGGCGGGAGAGAAAACTTTTAAGAGGAAATTACATAAATCCAGGGATTTAAAAATTATAATTCAAAAATCAGGGACCA